TTGTATCAACTTCTTGATTAATAAAAAGTCTTTTATCGAGCATGTTCTATGTTGTTTCTCTCTTCTCTCTAAGTTATTTTGCTTCGGAATTAGGTTGGTTAGTAGGGTTTATAGGCTGCACTCTTATACTTGTTTCAGGCTAGTTGGGGTCTCGGACTTGACATTGTGGTTGGGGTCTTTTGCATTATGGCATGATGGTCGAGGTCTTGCATTAGCTAGGTGGTCGGGGTCTTTGACTTCATGACCTTGGTCTTACACTGGCCAAGGTCTTTGGCTTAGTGGCCTCGATCTTAAGTTGGGTAAGGTGCTTGACTTAATGCTCGCTAGTCAAGGTCTTCGGTTTCATGGCCAATGTCTTCTGTTCACCGAGGTCTTTGGCCTAGCAACCTTGGTCTTATGCTGGTCGAGGTGCTTCCAAGCTCTCAACGTTGCCAAGAAGCTTGGTGGCACCTAGTCTTGGAGAGCTTCACATTCTTTGGTTACGCTATGCCTAGTCCTTGGTTAGTTCTAATTTGACCGAAAATCGGAAGGGTGTGTGGAGTTCGATTGTTGTCCTCTAGCCATTATGTGGCGAGAACGTCGTTCCTATAGTGCCCGTCGGGGGCTTGTTTTGGCCTCGACCATTTGTGGTCGGTCAAGTCTTTTGTGAAGTTGCCATCATGTTGTATCTGTTGGTCAACATGGAGTTTGGTCGTCGGAGTTCGATTGGAGTGTATGCGGCATTTGGTCTTTTGTGCTTGAAGAAAATTCTTTATTTATTGAGTTTGTACAATCCGGTCATCGTTAGTGCTCGACCCCAATCGTTGTTAGTACATCCTAGTCCTATCATTCTAGCTCCCCATAGTAGGTCTTCCATGCCTAGTTTTCCCTTTTAAGGTTCGTCTCGCCAAAGATGACGGCGATGGCCCCGGCTAGAGGAGTTCGGGTTGGGGGCTTGTCGGTGCGGTGCAGTTCTTCTTTGGGTTTATGCTCGTTGAAATTGATGAACTCATGGAGGTATCCATGTTGGACGAGGTCTTCCAAGTGGTGGCAAAGGTCGTGGCAATTTTCAGTGTCATAGAAGTGGCCTCGGTTGAAATCAAAATACTTGTCTTGATCTCTATTTTTGCCTTGGGTTTTCATCTTCTTGGGCCACTTGACAAAGCTATGGTCGCGGATTTGCATCAATATGTTGGCCCGTGGAGCGTTGAGTGGAGTGAAGTTGTGATATGTCGGCAGTGGGGTCCTCGGTCTACGGTAGATCGGCGATCCTGCCTCTTGGTGTCTTGGTCCATTCTATTAGCTGTCGTGGTCTCTGTGCTTTCGGTCGTGCTGGTCTTCATCCTTCCTATGCAATGCTTGGGCCTCTTCGGTGTTCATATACTTCTGCGTGTGCTTCATGAGCGCAGTCAGGTTGGGTGGAGGATTCTTTTGTAAAGAGAAGCTGAACATTGAGGAGTGTTACTTGCTCATGATGGCTATCACAGCTACCAACTGCTTTAGAGCTCGAACTTGAAGGGCTTCGGCATCGAACCTTGCCAAGTATTCCTTCAAGGTTTCTCCTTTCCCCTATCATACTTGCATGAGGTTGGCCGATGTCTTCTGATGCCTTTGGCTTGCGGTGAACTATGCTAGGAATTGTGTCTCCAACTATTCCCAGAAGGATATGGACCATAGCGGAAGGGAGGCATACCAGGTTCTGACAACTCCGTGGCAGGTGGCGACGAAAGCCTTGCACATGAGACCCTCGGAGGAGCTGTGTAGCATCATTATTGCCTTAAACCCTTCAATATGGTCATTTAGGTTTTGAGGCCCCATTGTACTTCTCGAGTTGAGGAGGTCGCCATCAGACTGGGGGAAGTTCGTTGACGATCTCTTGGATGAAAACATGCTCTTTTGTGGGTTGTTGACCATGATGTTGCTCTGTTGGTCAGGCCGTCAGAGGGGCCGTGCTGCAATCCGCTTGGCTGCGTTCCAGCTCGGCCAGTCATTGTCGTAGGTCCTTGATTTCTACGTTCCTTTTTGCTAGCGCTGCATTGATGGACTTCTTTGCTTTCGGAGCTGCTTACCGATCTCGAGCTAAGTTGGATTTGGCTATCAAGATTGGGGGTTGTTGTATGCGCTAGCCAAGTCGTTCTCACACCGAAATCCTTGTGCTGGAGTGATGTGATTTACTGCGGGCGTCGTGCGCACGATGCCGAGTTGGGGGGTTGGACCTCTGAGATGGATGTGAACACTCGTGGTCAGACTGGGCCCCATGCCAACCTACATGGCGCCTTTTGAAGTCCTCGGTGTGAGGATTGACCATGGTAGGTGCTTGCACGGTAGGGTGAGTGGATTGGGAGGGTTGTACGCCGGTTGTCCCAACTTCTCTATCATGGCGAGTATATGGTCAACTTTATACTACATGGCGAGGAACTGTGTGGGGTCGACTACTGCCTAATGTTGGGGCTCCCGAGGTGGGGAGTTGTGAAGTGAGCGGGATCCCTAAGATGGGGAATGAACTCCAGAGCAGTCGGATGTGCACGAAAAGGGGTTTGGGAATGACTTTTTATACGTTTCCCACAGACAACACCAATCTGATGTTGTCCAATCCAAGTTGTTTTGAACCGATGACACATTTAGATAGTCTTGCCAAACAAACGGGGCCAAGGTGGAAGGATGAAGCCATGCACTGAGATCTGCAACTAGGAGAAAGGTTAGAGGCCCAAAGAGTTGTTCCCCGGGTAGGTACTGTAACGCTCAAGTCAATAGAACCAAGAAGGATGTGGTCAAGTCGAGTAGGTTGAAATAGCGTTGGTATGGGCCAAAGAGATAATGCAAAAAGGTATTCTAAGAGTGCCATCCCAAAAAATGTCCCTTATTTCGAGGAGGGAATACCTATTTATAGTTGGATATCTGTCCCAAATGGATAAGGTCTTAGGGTTGTCGAGATAGAGAGCGTACACCAAGGTCTTCAGGAGATTTTCTCTTTCTAGACAGAATTCCCTTTTTTGTCCGTTCAAGATATTCCTTCTTAGTCGTACTCTTATGTTGGTGTGAGGCAACGTAGCCTGAAATGGAGGCAACTACGAAGATAGACACTTGGCATCTTGGCCATTTCAACCATCTCCCTATACAGCAAAAGTTTCTAGTGCTTCGGTCTTTCTCAGAATATTACCTCTTTTACCTCTTGCTTCCGTTGTTGTTGACACTCACCACTGAGATTAAAAAATACTCTTACGATTTTTAAAACTGAACTCTCCTCTCCCATAGATTCCCGGGATGAAAAACTTGAAAGTCGAAACTCTCACAGAGCAGTGAGCACCCCAAACTTTCATATCTTAGCGATCCTCCTACACGCGATTCGTAAACGAACCTGTTTATTGGCTGGTCTTTGGGTTTTATTATATTTTGTCTTTTTGTGGCTGATGATTCAATTAGTGGGACCATTATTAATCGAAGAGCTCTGTTAAATTTCCGTTAAGTAAAAAAAGGCTAAATTATAAACACCCCTGTATTTTGTTTTGCGATAAAAACCTCTCTTGTACTATGATCGTGAGACAAAGACTCCCTTCCGTTAACGTTTCGTTTCAAAAAGCCGTTACGATATTTTCTAATTCCTATACTACCCGTTCATCTTCTCCAACCTTCGGATACTATCCTTCCAATGCTACCCCTGTGGCTCCGCAAGTATTGCAGGGGAGGCGGCTCCGGCTCCGCAAGTGCTGTAGGAGGAGAGCGAAACATCACGATGACGAAAACCACAAAACAAAGTACAGGGCCCATTTCTTCTCATCAGGGCATTTGACACCAATTCCCCTCTCTATACCCTGTTATCTTCTCCATTCCTGAAAATCAGCGGTGGCTGAGGTGAATCTAGGCGGAGGCACGAGCAGCCGGGGAGGATTTTACGATTCATGTAAGTGAAATCCCTCATTTTTTTTCTTGATTTCTTACTGTTTTTGAGTTGCGATTCTGCTGTTTTTGATTTCTATACCCTGTTATTTGTGCCATCCGGGGAGGGTTTAGGGGTGAAGTACGCCAACGCGTCGAGTGTGGAGACCAAATCGGCTGGGTTCATTGACCTGTTAACCATGAATGCCGGTGCCACTGGAGGAAGCAGGTATGCTTTTTCTCTCTTCTTGGGTTGTTCACTCCTCGGCGGTGACAGAGGAGTCTTCAAAAGAGGGACGCCGCTGCAATCCTCCRCCGGTGGAAGCGGAGGCATCGGTGACGGGTTCGAATCCGCCGCGGCCGCTGCAATCAGCGCTCGCTCTCTCGCTGCCGGCCCGCAGCGGGTTCCGTGAACGCATTGTACAGGTGGTTTTTCTGTCAAACGAGGACTTGCAGAATCCCAAGTGAAAGGTGCAAGGCCTCAGGACTTAGAGAAGCTGGATCGGCATGGACTAAGACCTGGCTTGTTTTCATTTTGTAATGGTCTTCTCAACAAAAGTTATGCTGTCGAACATGCTTCCATTCCTTGCAAAACAGACTGACCTTCGGCCTTGGGTTGCTAAGCCTTTATGGTTCTCCATGTCCACATCGTTTGATTTTTAGTACACTGAAACACATGGTGTCCATCTGGGCTACGTTCTGTGGGAACCAAGAATCCAGATCTCTCTAGATAAGCACATGGTGTCCATCTACCTAAACCCAGATCTCTCTAGTCAAACACAGCTTCTCGGTGTAAGTTAAATAGATTTTAAGAGAAAAAAAAGTAAAATAAAAAAATAAAAAAAAATTAATGGGATATTTTGATAATTTAACGTATGTTATCATCTCAGATAATCATCAATGGAGATTTTTGTCTCATGGACATAGTACAAGGGATCTTTGTCGTAAAACAGGAGGGTTAAAATGACATGTTCGATTTTAATTTGCAGGTTCACGCTCATTAAAGCGTGAACCCATGCGAGCTCATATCAAGGGCCTGTCGGGGCCCAGTATGACCCATGGGCCCATTAATGACCCAATAACACATGTACAGGGAGGAGGAGGAGCAATCAGTTACTCCACTTTAACACCTTAAGTAGGGCTGAGCTAAAGTGGTGAAATCAGTACCATGGGTTACTTTGTCAAATTCAAGTTATGGCCACACCAATACATCGAGGGCTGTTATTATTGGTTTTAGCGCAGGCGCTACTCCATTGGGTGTAGCTGATATCTGAGCGTAGAGGAGATAATCCTGATGTGCAAATCATATCCACCTCCATATCCGGATCTGCTGTACACACAGCTGTACAATGTGTGCGGTCCATTCCATCTGACTGGTACGTACAGCGCAATCAATGTACACCAGATTCGAACTCTCTCTTCCTGCTCCTGGGTCAGTTCTTTCCTGTTAGGTTCTAGACTTCTAGTTAGGTTTTTCAAGGCTAATAAATCAGATTCTAGAAGCCCTTCATGAATGCAGCCCATGTGTGTGTGTAACAACAGTGCGAGAGAGATGGACCAAATTGACCGATAAGTGAGAAAATCCGAGTCCATTTCTTGAACCCCACGTCTCTGTAGAATGGAATCTGGCCCAGTGGATTTCTGATTTCTCTCCCGTCGGGATCCCATTTCCTCCCCCTTGAAGTGTGTAAGTAAAACCAAGCCATCTTCGACTTGGACGCTTATTAGCATTTTGCAGAAGTCTGATAAGACAGACAAGGGAGATTGGAAGTATCCCAATTCCCCAAACCCAACCGGGCAACCATTATAATATCGGTCCAGCAGATGCGAGCTCAACTCAACAACTTGGTATGTAAACTAGCTGAGTAGCTAAGCTAATGATGAAGAACGACGACACCGACTACAATAATAGCCGTTCTCGGATCCTCCACCTGCTCGGTTTCAATCAATCAGCGGTGGCCCATGTAATTACTTACGTCTACTTGTTCCTCCTATCGCCGTCGGTGGTGCCGTTTGCCACTGCGCAACCCAATAGCATCAGTAATACAGAGCCGCAATATGGGAATTTTAACCCATCCATGGTGATCATCATAATAATCATAGTTATTCTCATTTGCGCAATTTTCTTCATGGGCCTCTTCTCCTTTTACCTCCGCCAGTGCTCCGAGGAAAATAACGGCGTTAGCGTACGGAACCTAAACAATTTTGGTGAACGGTCCCAACGGGCGGCTATGGGGCTTGATCCTGCCGTGATCGAGACATTCCCGACCTTTATGTACTCAGACGTGAAAGAATTGAAGCTAGGGAAGCGAACCCTGGAATGCGCTATATGCTTGAACGCGTTTGAAGACGATGACACACTTCGGTTACTCCCAAAGTGCGACCACGTCTTTCATCCCGAGTGTATTGACGCTTGGTTAGCTTCTCACACCACCTGCCCCGTCTGCCGAGATAACCTAGTGCTAGTGCTGGGATCAGGCGAAGATGTCGTCATTTCGGTAGAGCAAACGCCCGACGTCCCAGAAGGGCAATTGGACGTGGGGAACCCTAGGATGGAGGCAAGTGAAGGCCAGGAACAGAACATGGTAGATAAGGAACAACTGGTGGCGCCTGGCCCCGGGGTCATAAATCAGAATCCGATCCCAATTCAAAATCGTCCGGGAAGAACGCGATCGTCTAGAGGACCGCGGATGCAGCGATTTCATTCGACGGGGCACTTGCTTGGGCAACCGGCCGGGGACGGGGAGAATTGTGGGAGTTTCAAGCTGCGTTTGTCGGAAGACGCGAGGAAACAGATAATGAAGAGGAGGCTAAACCGGACGACAAGCTGCGTAGCTGTACCGTGTGAAGGAAGCACGCAGTGTGGAAGTGGATACGGGAACAGGTGTGAAGGGAGTAGCGGAGGGAAGAGTTACAACAACCAAATAAGAGGAGGAGCGGAACGGAGGACGAAATCAGAACGGTGGGTGTTGTCGATGGCGCCTTCATTCTTCGCGAGAACGTTCTCAACTAGGTCATGGAAGGCAGAACCGGACGCCGGACGGTGAAGCAGCCACTATCCCCAAGGCATTCTTTACGTCCACGAGAACGCCCTTCGATTGTCTAGGCAGGAATGGCCAAGGTGTCGACCCGGCCGCCTGTTTGATTGCATTGATGGTGATGTGGTCGGTCTTTCAGTTATGTTTGATTAAAACTCTGCTCCGTCTAAACAATCAGTTTTTGTTTTGATTAAAACTCTGCTCCGTCCTCCAGAGAATTTTCCTTACATTCAAAATAAATTACAGAAGTCAGAAATCATAAAACTCATCGGAATTAATTCTTTCTTACCAAACGCAGCCTTACGTGGGGCCTAAATGTTGTATCCTTTACACGTTATTAATATTCTATCCTCGATCGGGTTAACATGGCATCCAAGGTTTTCCCAATTAAACAACACTTTGAAGTGTTTCAACATGAAACAGGGGCTTATCAAATCTAATTAACATAGCATGTATGTTTTCAAGTTGAAATATTGAAGCAACAAGTGAGTATTGAGTTCACGTTTAAACACCAAATGCACCAAAGCAATCAGAAGTGATGAACCATCAATCACATCTGCAAGGGTACAAGGAAAATTGCTTAAACTTGGATTCTACTTTTTGAGATAGACTGAACTTTCCCTTAAACACACGCCTCTCTCGTTAATCCTTATCAAGTTTACTCGGCACAAACTCGTTAAGTAAATAGATTTCACCTATCCACTTTTCGTTTGGTCAAGTTGGTATAAGTATAGTATTAATTCAATTAATATTTCAAATTAACTCGGAACACATAGAAAACCATGCACTTTCTTGATCACGTACGCCTGGGGTTTAACGGTTTAGCCATCTGATTCAGCTGTCTAACTTTCAAATTGAAAAAGTAAACAAGTAAGGATTAGAAGAATTGAAAATGGTACTACGTACGTGCAACATCTTTTAATCTATTTTACTTCAAGATAAACTTACAACAACAAATACCAGATTATATAAATCATACCAATACATGTAAATAAAGCAATTAAGTTCCACCAAATCCATATTTTTGATAATCAGCAAACAGAAAACCATTTTTGGTATATAAGATCTCTTCTAAGAGTTGTATAAATCCTAGTACAGGCTTCCCTACTTTTTTTTTTTTTTTTTCAAATCAAACACAGCCTTAATGACAAGATTCTTAGTTTGTTGTGGGCTCCTCAATTGCTTAAGCTGTTATAAAACGGCCCCTTGGTAGGGTATGTAGTTGCACTTTTGTGTTTATTTCTTTTTTTTTTTTTTCCTTGTTGGTTTACTTGTTTCCATGCTTGTCTCATGAGTCGTTATAGTCTTTATATTTTTTTTATGGCTAATATAAAATCTTTTCTCAATACAAAAGAAAAAAAAAAGTAGTACCTTAGAATTATATCAAACCCCTATTTAACGATTGAAAAGATAAGGGAAAAATTTAGCACGGTTGGATGGATAGTATTGTGGATGTTATTGCTGTCAAGATTAAAATATCAATACATACAATATTCATGTTTGGTCATCAGCGAGTATCAATATGATCGATACTCAACCTTTTTATTTTATAATGATCAGAGTGTTAGGGAAGACAACTAAGTCATTTTAAATGTTTTAAGAAAACTTATGTAATAGTATATCCAAGTGAATCCAAATACACTGATACCAATACAATACAACCAAGCATATTGTATGGAGATTTTACTCCTTTGTTATTATTAACAAGCCATATATAATATGCATGCGATTTTAAGAGAAAAAAATGACTATTCTGGTTGGAGGCATGACAAGCCTTATTGGTCCTCTATGGGCTGTATAGGGAGCCAATGCAGAACTTATCATTGGTTATCTCACCAAACGGCCCATTAGGGGTTTGAGGTGACAATTCTCTGTTTGAATCTCTTGTATGTGGCCAATACTTTCAAGCCTGAAAAGCTTAATTAGTATGCAAGTTGACCTAGGTCCAACTCTAGGTCAAGTCCTTTTATCTTTATTTTAGGTGCTAAGCTCAACTTGGCCTAGACCCTGTTGGCCATTAAATGGGTTGGTTACTCGGGGCTTAGAGAAAAAAATGAGTTAGGGTTTGGATGGGAAAGCTTCTTAGAGTGTTGTTGAGTGAAAAGAAAAAAAAACAAAAAACAACCCTCCACTGCTATACCATCTACCTTGAATTATGTGCCTTTTCCTTCTGTTCTTGGTCCTCCTAGAATTGAGATCCCCATTAAACCGCAATCTTTAAAAAAGCTGGACAACTTTGCAGCCTTTTTCAGTGATGCGGAGATTGAGCTTTCTACTGCTCCTTTTTGATTTGCCCTAGTTGGGAAGTGTGCTATGGGTGGCCTTCCATCTTGAGAACTTGGGAGTTCTTGGTTAGTACTTTCTTACTTAAGAAGAGTGTGATTGTTATAGCCTTGCATCCAAGACAAGTGCTCTTTCATTTTGAGGATGAAGCAAAGTATCTTCGTGTATGGATAAATGAAGTAGGGAAGACTTCTTATTTCGTATGTTGAAATGGGTGTTGGAAATGGAGATTGGTTTGGAAACCTTTTGTAGTACCAGTTTGAATTACTCTCTTCATGCTGTATGTTTACCTTTACCTCAAATCCATCGCACAGCTAATCAAGAGTTTTGAAGATTAATGAGGCTACATCAAGACTTCTAAGAACCACAACAGCTAGGGTTTGCTTGGAACTTGATCTGATGAAGGAGAACCCATCCAGGGTTTGAACTAGTATGACAATTTCTATCAAAAGATTACATGTGAATCTTTTTTTGTATAGTTTCTTTTGCTTCAAACACGATCATGTTGAGGCGAGTTGAAAGTTATATATAGGCGAAGATGGAGAATAGGGAGACAAAGGAAATAAGCAAACCTGCCTTGACAAAAGTTTGAACTGATAAAGTGGAGAAATCGAAGATTAAACAAGTTTTCTAGAAAACCGATAAGGTTGTGAAGAAGCTGGAGAAGAAGTAGGAGATGAAGTCAGTTCTCATTCAAACTGCTCTAATATGCCCCCTCAAATGAAATGTTTGGGAAGGACACGAAGCTTGGATCAAAGAGAAGCAAAATGCGCATCACAATTCGGTTTGGTGAGAAGATTTGCAACTTGATGACTAGAAGATATGAACTGGATGGAGAAAGATCATTTGATCACACCAAATAATGGTTATATGAGAGAGAGAGGTTGACCCAAGTCATGTAATAGAGAATGAACCCAAAGGACTTCCATGGCAGCATTGGCACAAGCCCAAAACKTGGATTCCATTCTAAAATGGGTGATGGTAGGTTGCTTCTTAGAGCTCCAAGCAATCAAGTTACACCCCAAGTAGAGAAGATAACCCCTAGTAGATTGCCTATCATCGGGGCAACCTGCTCAATCAGTGTAAAAAAAAAAAAAACCTAAAGAGTAAGAAACTGGACTGAATTAGAAATGCAGGTCACAATCAACTGTGTGTTTGAGATATCGTAATATTCTCTTGATGGCAGCCCAGTGTTCCGTCGTCGAAGAGTGAAGAAACTGACACACTTTGTTGATAGAGAAGGAGATCGATTTCTGGCCGTGTAATGGTAACATATTGAAGGGCGCCAATAATACACTGATACTTCAATGAATCTAAGAGAGAGAGTCTCCACTAAACTTAGAGAGTGTTTAGAATTGACAACCATGGGAGAAGTGAGGGGTTTAGCTTTAGCCATTTTAGCACACTTCAAGAGATCTAAGATATACCATCATTGAGCAAAAATAATTCCATGGGGTTGTGCTATGATTTCCATGCCTAGAAAATAATGAACTAAATTGAGATCCTTCAAGGAGAAGGTTCAACTCAACAAAATCATCAAGAGCAGACTAAGAGGGACTGGTAGTAGAATATAATCAACATAAATCAGCATGTAAATGGTAAGGAACCTTTGTGATAAATGAATAGAGACGGGTTAGCGGCAGACATACGGAAACCAAGCAGAAGGAAATGAGAGCTAAGCCGAGAGTGCCATGCCTGAGGAGCCTAACGAAGGCCGTACAAGGCTTTATTTAGCTTACAAACATGATGAGGTGAAGTCGGGTCCTCAAAAACTTTTAGTTGTCATACATAGATTTCCTTAGAGACATAACCATTAAGAAAAGCATTATCAAAGTCCAACTGTCGGAAAGGCCAACCAAGTGTAGTAGAGAGAGCAAGAATGGTTCGAATGATTACCAATTTAACCACCGAACTAAAGGTATTTGTAAAATCCACCCTCGGGACTTGATTGAAGCTTTGAGCGGCCAAACAAGCCTTATAATGATCAATAGAACCATAAGCTCGTCGTTTCAACTTGTAAATTAACCTACTTGGTGTTGACAACATGCATATGTGGTTGGTACGACACTAAAGTCCATGTCGCATTGGCAACAAGAGCATTGAATTCCCAGGACATAGCCTCACACCAGCATGGTTCCTTATAGGCTTTGGAAAAACAACTCGGTTTTATGTAGTCATCATGAAGTGCAATAACCAATAAATCTTGTGGAATGGGATACCAACTAAAGTATAAGATTGATGTTAGACAGTGTATGCCCTTAGCTCCAATCAGAATGATGTACATTATGACATTTAATGTAAAGGAATAAAGTACATATTTGATTCATGTTATCATGCTGTGTTTCTATGTAATACCCTTAAACTGGACACTTATGAGACTCGTGTTAGTTTAGAATCTTCACAGCCGTTGGATAGATCCGGGGAGATTTATCCTGTCAAGACTGACACTGATGTATCGCCAAGTTGGTTGGGGTGGCTTGTCTCAGTTGCCGGGGTGAGACCTGAGGTACATGTAGTGTGAGTTTTTTTGAAACATTGAACCGGACCAAAATTCCAGTATTGCCCTGGACCTTGGAGATAGATGGGCAAAACTGGAATGTTACACCTGAACCCTAGACTCGATTATGATACTACACTAGGTGTCGGATTGGGCTGTCTTTGATATGCCAATCAGTGAGATCCTTAGAGGGGGTCAAAACCTGGGTATGTTGGGACAGTCTGAGAATTCATCTGAGTGGGTGATCATAGTGAAAGGATCAACCCCTTTGTCGGGCAAAGTGAATGATCGGGGATGCACTCTCTCTAATGGAAACCAAAACTGTCGGTAGTCGATTTCAACCATTAAAATTTGTTTTGCAAAATATATTTATATAGAGATATACATATATATTATGGTTTAAAAAATGTTTGCAAAAGGTTTTAATTCCCGGGATCCATGTGAATAGAGAGTGCAACACTGTACCTTGCAACCGAGGGAGAGGTCCTCTCTTGTTGGACAATGTTTGATCATTATGGGCTGAGAGGTTAAGTGTAAGACCATTGAGGGTAATACCTGATGGGTTAATCTTGCATCTACCCACAGTGCTTGGGTTTTTATAAGGTGGCTTGACCCATGGACCA